AAAATTAGTCTAATCTCTCAAGTTCAAGTTTTTCAGATCGAAATAGAGAAATAAAAAAACTATTTTTATCGTTTTCAGATACAAATACCGTTGGTGACATTCTCCCAAGTGGAAATGGCACAGCCAGATTCCCAGAATGTCATCGAGATAATAGCGTACGTGGTATTGGGTGCTGTGGCAGCTGCATCGATTGTTCTGGTGATAATAGTCCGTCGTCAATCTAAGACGAGGAGGAAACTCGCGGGTCTGGCAACACCGGATCCAGAGGCATCTAAGGACTATCAGGAATTGTGCAGAGCCCGGATGCAGGCGAAAGTACCAGCGATGTCATCGGAGAAACCAGAGTCACCAAGAATAATCAGTCTATCCAAGGAGAGTGAGTCCAATCGATCGAGCACCAGCTCATGGGGTGGAGATGATCCTGCTGCACTCACCAATATGGACATTGCTACTGGCCATATGGTTTTGGTAATTTATCTCATCAGCATCTATCCATTATTCATCAATTTATCTTTCCGTTCATCATCTTCAATGAATATAATTTTTTTATCGTCAAGAAAAATGACGAAATATATTTCCTGCGATTGACAGATGTACATGGAGGACCACTTGAAGAATAAAGATCGTTTGGATCAAGAGTGGGCAGCGATTTGCGCCTACCAGACAGATCCATCATCGATTGCAATCGCCACGGACAATGATAACATCCAGAAAAATCGTCCAGCTTCAGCTTTTCCGTACGACCACTCCAGGATTATTCTAAATGATCTGTCGAATCTCAACAACTCGGACTACATCAACGCTTCAACAATCGTAAGTGATGACACGAATGAATTAATTTTCGCTGGTTAATTTGCATGAATCATTCCGAATCGACTTCATCATGTAGTGCAACCCAAAAAAAAATTTATTCTCAACGAAGTCCAAGCAGAAAAAACTCTCAACTGTACGGCAGAAAAAATTCAACAAATGCGCTTTGCTTTATTGATTTATAATTTTTTCATGGTTTATCCATGGAAGAAAAATTGATATTGAAATATTTTCTGGATGCGGCTAATAAATAATTCAGACGCCGGTAAGTTGAAGGGATGATTAGAATCATTTCTGCAGAATCATGAAATTATTCGCTTCATCGTAACTATTGAATGTATCGGTGCGATTGAATTTTTTTTGCTACCTCCAAGTATTAATAATTATTTAACGAGTTTGAATGTTTATTTTCAATTGTCATGAGCATAGACGGATCATGATCCTCGTAATCCTGCGTACATCGCCACCCAGGGACCTCTTCCCCAGACATCAGCTGATTTTTGGCAATTGGTTTGGGAGCAAGGAAGCGTTGTGATCGTGATGCTGACACGTTTGACAGAGGAGGGACAGGCAATGTGTCACAGATATTGGCCAGAGGAAGGATCTGAGCTGTACCACATCTACGAGGTTCACCTCGTCTCCGAACATATCTGGTGCGATGATTATCTGGTCCGATCCTTCTACCTCAAGAATTTGAGAACCGGCGAAACTAGAACTGTCACACAATTTCATTTCCTATCGTGGCCAGAGAATGGGGTGCCCCAATCCACCAAAGCATTGCTCGAATTCAGGAGAAAAGTCAATAAGTCGTACCGAGGAAGGAGTTGTCCCATCGTTGTTCATTGCAGGTGATAATTCAATAAAAATTTCACTCTTTACGCAATTTATTGCCTCTTGCTAATAATTTTTCTGAGTATTTACTCAGAAAAATTTTCTTTCAATCGAAACGTCAGAGGAATTTCAAGGGAAAAATCATTTTTCTGGAATTATTTGTTTCAGCAATGGGGCGGGGAGGACTGGCACTTATTGTTTAATTGACATGGTCCTCAATCGAATGGCGAAAGGAGCTAAGGAAATCGATATAGCAGCTGCTCTAGAGCATATCAGAGACCAACGCCCAGGAATGGTATCTACCAAGCAGCAATTTGAATTTGTTCTAGTCGCAGTAGCTGAGGAGGTGCATGCCATCCTCAAGGCCCTTCCTGTACAACCAACAGAAAAGTCCCAGAATACGTCAACTCCATCCTCATCAGGATCTGATAAATAAAAACGATAATCCCCCGTCGAATTATCATTTATCTCGACCTCTGAAATACTGAATTAATCAAATCCTCGAGAGAGTCTTGGGGATGATTAAAAATTACGTGAATTTTTTTAAAGGACCATTTATTTTTTGACTCGTTTCGAAATTGCGTTTTTAATTATTGGAATTGGTTAAACAATTGAATTAAAGGCGGCCTATAATGAAGAAAACTAATAATTTTTTTCCAACGAATTCATCATGCACTTGATGAAATTGTCTTGAATTTTATTTTGATGAAAACGATGGGATTATTCAATCGTTGATAAGGGAGGGAATAAATGTTCGATTTGATAAGAGATAAAACACTGAAAAACTGAAGAGAAAGAGAAATCCTAATTATTTTGTTGCACAAAAAATGAGTTACAGAATTGTTAATTGAACTGAACCCTCTGAAATGATTTCTTCCCCGGAGGATTTCGTCAGTCCCCAGATTGATTGAAATCGTTAATTAATTAATGAAAAAGAACAACTCGCTGAGAAAATGATTTTTCCTCTGCCGAGAATTCTTGAATTTATCTGTTTTCAGGAGAAATGTGATTTCAACGTGTGAATATCCTCGACACAACTGGGGATTACATCAGGGCCTGTGCGATGACTCAATAAAAAAATAAGATTTATTAAATAAAAAATGTGATCCCATGGTACCAGCCTCCCATGGAATACCATTTCAATTGATAAATCACTCAAAAAATTGATAACTCCCCTGATATTTGTAATTTCCAGTATTAAATTTGGGTCTTCGCATGCGTCTCGACATTCCTCGTCACTTTAATTTATTAATTTATCTTTCATAATTGATCTTGATGCAAATTAGTCAATTAAAATCACGAACAGATGATTGGATTGAATTTATTATTTACTCGGACGAAAAGGAAAGGATTGATTTCGATGTTTGATAGAAAATCTTGTATTGATCAAATCGATTGATTAATTAATTAGCAACAATGAATGGTGCAATAATCGGTGTACGAATCTATATATTACAATATCAATCATAAAATACCTCATGACTTCAGCTTTGATCATCAATTTGCCAAAAACTTTTTCAACAGATAACACGATATGAAATATTTTTATTTATTTATTTAGAATTGAATAAATATTTTGGCAAACTGGATAAATTTTATTGGCAACTTCTAATCTATAGATTCTATATTTTTGTGTAAAAGACGAGGAACGACGTACCTATGCATAAATGAAGTAAAGAAGCAACAAATTATATAATATATATGAAAGAAACAAAAATTATATATACATATAAGTCTATACCATGTTAATGGCGAATATATACTAATATATGTTGTGAATGAATATTAAAAAATGCAGTCTATGTTTAACAATAGCCACTCGAAACGTTTTAAGATCTCAATCATTTTTA